CATTGTGCGATTTAAATGAAATCATGCAGCGAGCAATAAACAGTTGAATGTGAAACAACAGAAGAAGAGAAGCGAAGCTGCGGAGAAGCCGCTGTTAATTCATCCGTGACGTGAATGTTACTTACTTTTCAAAATGAATAATCAAACCCCTGCTAGATATAGACATGGTCGAACCAAGCAATCAAAATGTCATATTGTTGCTGAAAACAAATCTTTTTGCAATTTGTACAAAGTGATGACGGCAATCAAAAGCTCATTCTGTGAAAACACTGTTTTGTGGCCAAAGCATCAAAAGTCAACAACAAACTATCACAAGAAAATACAATATTAGGAAGATAAATGAAATATGAATCTGCAGCCAGTTAGCTTAGCATTGATGTTAGCTTAGCATTAATGAATACAATCTCAATCCCTGCAAGGAAAGTGCTGTAGGGAATCATTGGTCATCTTTGAGAAGATGTGACAGCCCCCCCCGCCCCCCTAAACAATAGTGCTGCATCACCCCCTCCAGCTCAGGGCCCCCCAACACTCCTGCCCTTTTCAACCCTGCTAGCATCGGCGCTGGATATTATTCATAGCACCTTGTCTCTATCACGGCATCTAAAAACTAAACACGATTATCCTAAAATTAATGAGCCGTATCCACCCCATTACATCTATCTGTTAAGTGGTGGTTTGGGCCTTCCTTCAGGGCATTATGCATGCTCTTCTGTTCATATTTATAACCCAGGCTTTTTATTAGCAACGTAGCGGGGTGCTAACAGTTGGGAGGCATCCTCCGCTTTGATGCTGATGGCAGGCGGTTCTGCACAGGCCAAATGTGAATGGGAGGAGAGGAGAGGGGATCAGCTGCCAGGCCAAGGGCCCTGTGGATGAGGGGAGGAGAGGGTGAGGCAGAGGGGAGGAGGAGAGAGAAATTAGAAGTTAGTGAATCAGGACAGCTCTCTCAGCCGGAGAAGTGTGTCTCGTGATCAGCGTATTTTTGTCACACCTGCCGTATTTGAAGCCTTGCTAACCTGAGGTGTTTTATGCATGTGTTATTCAGAGTGCATGTGTACGAAACATAATCTACGAGTGACTTTTTTTCTTTTTTATTGGCTTTTGTTTCAGCTTGTTTTGTTGAATTATTTATAGAACAATTGAGGCGTAAAGAGGACAATATGTACTGTTAGTGGCATGACCTTAACCCTAACCCTAACATGTGTTTTTCCTATCTGTGTGAATACACTAGTGTTTTCAAACTGTGCTAAACGACGCTGAATTGTGCCCTCTGACAAAAATGTTAATGACGAAAAAAGATTATAATGAACCTTGCTTATCATTCATCAGTTATGACTGACAGCTCTATTTCCTTGATACAAAGCTGCTAACAGCATGCCATTTTTAACATGCTTGAAGGCTAACAGTCACTGAAGACGCAGCTGAAAATCGTCACGCTAATTAGCAGTGCAATTAATTGCTGCTGTGCTCAACTCATTACCCTTTCCTGGAAGTGACATTGTTAATGGCTAGAAAACAAGAACAAATGACAAAGTAAGTTAAGACTTACCTCAACTATATCGATTAATGACTAATCATTTCAATTGATATTAGTTTCTAGTTGTTTTTTTGTTACTTTTGGTCAAACAAATCAGGCAATTTGAACATGAGTAGTCAAGCTCAAAGATACAGCACATCTAGCAGGCTCGTACTCACCTTAATCTTAGTGACAACATCACCTTGCAGTCGCGCTGCTGTTTTGGATTTAATGCCTGAACGCTCAGACTTCAATCAGTGTCAACATTGACCTTAGTTAGGTGTCGTGTTTCACCGCGCAGCCACTCAGAAGAGACATTACCTGACATAACCTGAACGTGATTTGTGATGAAATAACTTGTTGTGATGGATCTTGATTGGCCTTTTCATGGAAAACATTTTGGCACGGGTGTAAATAACATTATAATGATAACTGCTTTAGTGTAGGGTTCATAGTATAGTGAAACAAATGAAGGAAGGAATTCTCTTTATTTATATTGCACATAAAATAAGGGTCTCTATTATCTAAGAATGACATACAAGCATTAGAAATAAAAACAGACAGCTTGACAATACTCTTAATATCATATTAAATAGAAAACGATATGAAAAGATGTGTTTTGTAAGAGCAGCCGGAGGACCTAAGAGTTCGGGGAGGATCATAAAATAATAGGATGTCTTGAATAGGGAATGTTTTTGCTTTAAAAACGAAGGGAAACACTTTAGAATACATTCTTAAAATACAGAGCGACAGTCAAGGTTGTGTAAAACTTCACTTCTATCATCTCATTTTGGTTTTTTCAAACCTTAAAGCGTTTTAAAAGCTTTTATTGTTCTCGGTCAAGGCCTCACCTTCCCTTGAGCTAGGCTTGGTCAATGGTCATTAGATTGCAGTAATGTAAAATGTTTGAGAACAGACCCGAAGTTGATGAGTCTCTTGTTCAAAGGAAATGCTTAACAATACTCAAACGTGAATTTGTTGAAAGGCATCCCACTGCCCTGCTCCCCCTACCCAATTCCTCCAGTTTTAGGTAGAGGTGGGGCTGCTGGATCAGCCATTGGATTGTCTGAGCTTATCCTGGCTCGCATGAGGGAATCATCCCGAAAGCCCTTTAGGAAACCAACCTTGGCTTTATGCAGCGCCAATTGATATTGGCCGTCCAGATCGGCGTTTGTCCAAACCGAGCCATGAGCGCTCTTCTATCTTGGCTATGCTTTTGGCTCCTGATTCCTTATGCCTACACACACACACACACACACACACACACTCAGGAAATAGACGCTGCTGTACTTGGTGTGTAGGTGTTCCGGCAAACATGCGGACACAAGAGCAGCATAATTACGCACGGGGTAGCATAATTATGCTTCTCACACAGCAAACTAGCATAAATTACATACAGAACATACACCCACACCATTCCACACACAAGAGCCGCTGATCAACTGCATGACCTTCTCTCTTACAATGGTAATGTCACCACCTGGGGGAGGAGGGAGGAGGGGGAGAAGGGCTTTGATGGAATGATGGGTGGAAAGAAGGATGGGAAGAATTGGCCACGCGCTTAAGCCTGCCTGCCGTACCTGCCACCCCCCCTTACCTGCAGCCTCTTTTATCCCTCTTACCTTGTCAAACATCATGTATGCTTATAAGTACAGTATGCACACTCCCCCCTCCCCCACCCTCCACTGTCACAGCCGTCACCCCGGCACATCCTCGGGTCGTAACCCATGATTCATTGCGCATGAAACCTCTTTTCTGCACGGCCTGTGGCTTGCCCGCTGACAGGATCCTGTTATGCCAAATGTCACACTTCCAAAATGGATTCACCCCCCATGGAGAAAATGAAGTCAACACCTTCCTCGCGTACTTCGCCCCGTCCCTCCATCACTCTCCTCCTCCTCCCCCCTCTCACTTATCCGTTTCTATCCTCTTTTCCGCTCTCTTGAACTATCTCTACCTCACACTCACCTTGGTTTGCAGTCCTCAGCGTTTTGCTGAATAAAGTCCCCTTTAACGGGCCGGTTTCAGCGGATAATTAGCCCTCACCTTGGAAAAAGAGAGGACGACATAGAGAAGAAAGGGTGGGAGGAAAGGAAGATTTGGGGGAATCGATTGGGGGGAGGCAGGTGATGGTAAGACTGAGTGAGAAGGGGGGTTGAAAGATAGTGCTGCCTATACATGTACCTCTAACCGTCGCATGCTATCCCCTTCATCATCTTGTCTCAATGCCTTCAATATTTAATTGAAAAAAAGAATAAAGGAAAAAAGAACATCACGACTCACCGGCCTCAGCCATCACGGCCTCACACAGTGCATGAAAATAAGTTATTTTTTAAAGCCATCGCAGGAAATAAATAAATCTAAACATGTAGGCGTGCAGTGGAGGAAGGAGGCATTATCTCCACCTCTCGCTGTAGATGTGGAAGCAGCTTTTTAATTTTATGTCAGTATATGCAAATACCGTAAACAGTCAGAAAACAACTCCAAATCCCTTTTTGTTCCTGGAAGAAAACGACTTGGAGGAGAAATTACACTCCCTTAGCAACAGACACCCCCCCCCCCCCTCCTAAAAAGAAAAAACGTGAAGTTTTATTTTTAGAAGGTGCAAACAAGGAAGCGAAGGGGGGGGTGTAAGATTGTAAATGTCTCTGATGTGTTCAGTCTGCACAACCTTATTCCTGATAATGGAACTAGCTACTCTGTCTGTCAGTGCCTATTTACACACAAATGAAGTGGCAAGTAACACGCGCCCAGTGGAGCTGCTAGCCTCCATCTCAGCTGTCAAAACGTGTTAGTGGCTACAAGCGCAACACAACGATCCCTGGGATCAAACTGGTGGCGTCCATTCAAACATAATAGCTTCATCGTTGGACACGAGGCGTCTCTTCCCCCTCGCCGGCTCTCCTCTCAGAGCCTTGCCAGCTTGTTGTGAAGTAATGGACTTCTCGGGATGCCAGTTCGCACAAATCGGGGATGTAGCCTTTTATTTGCCCTCCGAGGGGAGAGGTGTTTGGAGTAATAGGGATGAAGCAGACCATAACTACAGCTGAATAAATCTTCCTATCTTGGCTCAGTGGAAGCCGCTGCACACATGGCTTGTCAAAGCTCTATAAAATGTTGTTTGATAGGAGTTCTGTTCAGTTTAGGACTTCTCCGCCTGCTATCCACTCGGCTTGCTTTCGTTCCGCGCTACAGCGGTTGCAATCAATCAGTGTGTAATCAGCCGTCGAGCTGTGGCTGCCAGGTAATCCTGGCTGTCTTGGTGGCTATCTGTGCGTGTGCGCATGTGACAGCTGGCAGAGCTGCTAAGTTGCCTGTCTGGGTGAGTGGATGGCACCATGCAGATTTCCTCTCCGCGCTGTGTGAAAGGCGTATCGAACGATCTGATTGCTGTTGAAATTGTCAAATGGGATTGGAGAGTGGGCATTTTCAGTGCAGATGTACCTGAATTGGGTCTAATTGAAGTATTTTTTCTTTCTTGTAGACCTGCCTAGAATTGGAGCGTTATCTTCAGACGGAGCCCAAGCGTCTGTCAGAACTCTTCGACCAAGACCTGGACGGCCTACTAACTCCCGCCTACCTGAAGGAGGACGGCGAGGAGGACGGCGAGGAGGAGCTGACGGACGCTCTGCTGCCAGACCTGCCCAACCTTCCGGAGCCCCCGAGCCCCCCTCCGGTCATCCTCTGCCCAACGCGGAAGAATATCCCCTCCTCCGGTGCAATGAAAAGAGACCTCAAACCTAAGGGCCAAGGCCTGGAAAACGTAGAAGCGATGGAAGGGGTCCACCAGGCGCAGCTGAGCGCCGTCACCTCCCTGACGCCCCCCTCGTCGCCAGAACTGGGCCGACACCTCTTCAAACCCAACCAGACTCTGACAGCCTCCGCCGACGGGACGCTGACCCTAAAGCTCGTCGCCAGGAAGGCGGGGCTCAGCGCGGCTCGGCTGGTGGCGGCGCACTCGCTCCCGGTTCGGATGAAGGACGAAGAGGAGGGGGCGGCGTGTGTTATCGGGGTGGGGGAGCTACCGGAGAACAAGAAGAGGATCCATCGCTGTCAATTCAACGGCTGCAGGAAGGTGTACACCAAGAGCTCCCACCTAAAGGCCCACCAGAGGACACACACAGGTGAGAGTCTAAAGAGTCTTTCAGATTGTATTATCCTGCACAATACTGTTAGAGATGGAATATTAAGCAGCTTTTAGGATTTTGCCAACACAATTGTTTGTTCATTCAATTACTAAAAATGTTTCAGCTTGCTTGCTCAGCACAAGATAGTAAAATGCTCTTTTCTGCAAGGACTCTTTAATGTGCATTTAGCTTCAGGATTGGTGCAATATAATTATTCAGAATTGCCCACACAGCTCACATTAATATACAACATTGTGTGTATGCTTATAGGAGTCGTACAGAGACACAAGGTTTCATAATCTCGTGTGTTTGAGAATATTAGTGCTTTTCCAGCTATATTATCAGTAAGTGGCCCTCTGGGACTTTCAGCCAGGCAGCTCTGAGGACACCTCTCCTACCAGAGCTGGCCACTTGATACACCTGCAGGTGATAAAATTGATTGACACTCATTGTTGGTGACAGGCTAAAAAGGCTCAATCCTGAAGCTAAATGACTGCTGCACACTGGAGGAGACACTGCCGGAGAGTGTGCACTGAAAATAGAAACTGAAAGAGCAGTCTATCAGAATTAAATGTATCGTTGTGTTGACTTAAAATCTCAGACAGTAAATCAGAGATGTATATTATATGGGAAAAAGCATTTTATAGTTTATTATCCAAGTCTTTGAGGGTATATTAACACATGTAGACAGTGTTGTCTCTGTTTAATCAGCCTACTTTGTTTATGTCTCAATCTATGCCTCTATTTGTATATTTATATATACTTTTAAACACATTTGATGGTTCATTATTTAGGAGATAAACTTTAAGAATTATCGTGTGTCCATAAATCCTTTCCTAGATAACCTGACGTGAGATAATTGAGGGAAATCCCCCTGCTTCACATTCTTGGAAGAAGTACAAAACCACATAAAGTGATAAGAAATATAAAGAAAAAATCAGCCATGTAATCACAGCAAAGGCTTAAGGCTGAGTCCCCGTGTTGCCCTATGAAAATATCACCATGTACGATCAAAATGTGATGATTTAAGAAAACCCACATTTCTTATCCCGCTTCTACCTAAAACCAGGACGGGTCCTTCCTGTCAAGGTTCTTCTCGAGACGGAAGGGGGGAGGGTTCAGTAGCTATAACTCCTTCGCTCTTCCATCTCAATCCCAAACCACTCAGACCCCTGTCGAGGAGCTGTCCTCTGTCTGAGTAACTGCGCAGTGATGGATGGATTGACCTGGATAGGCTTCCATTTCCCCGGTTTATTTCAGGCGCTCCCGTCCTCTGTGCGTTCTGTACTGTAAGTCTAGGTCAGTGGTTCTCCTTCTGAGGTTGGATATAATGGTGTCGTAGGAGGCGGGTCACGAGGGGTGCCATCTGTGTGCTTATTCCAACAATTAAAGGGGAAGGAAAACAGGAATAGCTGTTTGGTGCCTGTGTTTGCAATATTAATTAGCAGGGTTAGGGTTCAGCCGCCATATGCCTTTGGGTTTCATCACACCTCACACGGGGAGGGTTTGTTTGAACTCTAGTGTGATCTGTGTGGAAAGGTTAGAAGATCCAAATCTGTTGGAAATAAGAAGTACTTTTTCTCAAGTATTGTACTTTAGTGTACTTTATATAATCATCTTTTCTTACATCTTATTTCCTTATACTGTGTTTATGTTTGCCCCACCATACACCAAAGAGAACTACCTGATTCTAACTTTTACTGCTAACAGAGTAGATTTACAGTGTGGTATAAAGCATCTGAATACTTCCTCCGACTGTGGTACCTACCTCTTTGAATATGACACCTGAACGATAGCCAATCGCTCAAGCCTGGAGAAACAAATGAAATGCTTGGTGGCCTGCAGTCTTTGCTAATATATAGCTGTTTCTTTATGTGTTTGGAGGTACAGCAAAGAGCGTCCATCAGGCTAAATGAAGTTACAAGGACTCTAATTAAATGTCCTCGCCACCCTCCATGTAAATCCCTACACTTAATGGTTGACGGATCACCAAGGCTGTCCGATTCAGAAGCCACACACACACACACACACACACACACACACACACACACACACACACACACACACACACACACACACACACACACACACACACACACACACACACACACACACACACAACTCGTTTCTAAGCTCTGGCTCCGAGCCAACTTGTCAACAACTATATGTTGAGAATGAAGCAAACACGCTGTATGTGTGATCCCACCCGCGGTGATGCACACCACAGGTTTAGGCGTGAGCCCGACTGGAACAAAGGGCACAGACACCCGATCATTGATTTCCCCGGTGGTGCTGAAACTCCATGCCAACTGGGCAAACCCTGGGAGACCAGCCCACTGATGCTGTGCGTTACCAATGTCAATACAAGCCAAGGGATAAGGGATGAAACAATATAATCCTTTATTCTGACATCTCAATATTCCGATAAGTCCTCAAATTGGACTCCTGTTTACTTCTGTAACATAGCGACATCACTATGTAACACTGGCGCTTCTCGCGTTCTAACACATTGTAAGAGATAGGCTAAGAGGAGGGACATCTCTAAGCGGTTTACAAATCACAACAGATTTGACCAGCTAACCAATCAGAGCAGACTGGGCTCTGGTTTCAGACAGAGGGTGAAAAGAGGTGCCGCAGCACAGGCAGTATGAGAAAAATAAAGAGCTGTTTGAACATTAGCGCATGGAGACATGTCACAGTAGAGGCACAACATACAAATTATACCTTTTATGGCTTAATATGTCATCTTTAAGCTGTTGAGTTGAGTTTCCCTTTCACACATTTGGCACACAACAGGAGATGGTCCGTGTCAAACGCGTTCTCACTTGGTTTTAGCGCCTGGGGGAAGCGTGCAGGGGGCAGGACATGACGTGGATCACACCAACCATGTCAGAGTGGTGGTGTCTTTTGTTATTTCCATTTTCTTTTGTTGCTGGAGGTTGTGACTCCTATTGTTTCCTACTACGAAAAGAGTGTTTGTGTTCATACTGGAAACATGAAGTACATTTATTTAAACTATTCCATTCCCCAATGTAAATTTGAAAATATTAACCATTTCTCTGAATTATAAACTAATAAAACTACTGCACTTTAAATACACTGGCCAATCTGAAAAATAACAAGTGAAGAATATCCTTTTGGATCAAAATATCACCTTTACTGTAAGCCTTTTTCATTCTCTATCCAGTGAATTATTCAAAAACATATATGATTGCGATTTAATGACACACACTGTTTCATATAGTACCATAAAAGGGCTCAGTTTCCAGAGGAACCCCTCCCCCCAAGCGTATCGTTCAGGTGCTTTGGATAAAAGCAACATCTGTCTTGTTATTCACACCAGGAAAGTGGAATGATAAAGGGGGGGAAATGTCGACACGCGATGTCACAAAGAAAAACACAAAAGGCAGAAGAAGAGGAGATAGTGAGTGAAACAAAGAGTAGATGAAGACAGGAATGGGGGAGGTACAGTAGCGCGACCCTCTTCAGCAGAAAGACAGCGGTGCCACAGGCTCCCCCATTCTCTGAGCCATTATCCTGACAAGTTTAAAGATGTCATTACTCAAATCCGCTTTTTCTTAGTTGTTATTTCCATAAATTACCCACGAAGAAAAGGCTGCGATTTAATCTGGAATTAGACGGGCTGAGTTGAAATGACAGTGCCCTGTAGAGCTTTTTGTGAATAGGCTTATGGCAGATAAGGAATGGTACAATTCGATTTTGGGCAGAGTGAGGGAACAAGTAAAACTGTTCTCTCTATCCCTCTGTTCCCTCTTTGGCTCTTTCTAATCTTCCGCACTCTGTGTATCAGTCTTCTCGGAGCATGTCTGTCTCTGTGTACGCTTCTGCCTCCCACTCTTATGTTGTTGCTTCGCTCTTTTGCCACTTTCTGCTTCTCTGTTTTTGGACCCAGGCCAGCCATTTGAGGATTTGACTAAAGAAAATTGATGGACCAATGAGAATGGCCAAATGTGTTTTTAGCAAACAAACTTTCATCCAACAATGGAAGAACATGCCGTTTTTTGCATTTCCTCTCTGTTTTATATCATATTGAAGTGCTTTATTTGGGGGTTGTGGGCTCGCAGTACTGGAATTTAAAGACTATTTTTAAGAAACTGATTCATTGTCAATAACAAAAATCATTAGCTCTATATTTTACTGCAATATGATGTCCAGGTGTCTTTATACTTGAGGTCCAGAATGTGTGATGTTTCTACATAGATAATGCTCCAACAAATGTAACTTTTGCCTGTTTAATACAAAAGATTCAACCCACATTTTTAAAGATTCTGTATTTTTTTACTTAATTATTGGTCTAATTCACATCATGACATCCATTGGTCGAAATATGTCTACATGGATGTTAACAAATTCATCTTTTAGTTTTCCATGCCCCGCTCCAACATTTCTCCATCCATCCATCTGTTATCTTACTTTTTTCTCTAGTCTGCCTCCACCCCCCCCCCCCCCCCCCTCTCATCTCCAGCCCTGCGGTGGTAGTTGTGGGCAGGAGCCTGTAAAGTGTTCTCCGAGACCCCCCTCTAATGACCTCTGGGGCCCCGCTACAGCTCCGGCTAATGGAGGGAATGCAATTAACTTCAACACTGGCACCTGAGAGGCTGGACTGAGAGTGTGTGTGCGTGTGTGTGTGAGAGCATTCGGAAGTAACAGATTCCACATAATGGGATTACAGTGACTCAGGAAACACCCAGTTATCAGATTACGGAAGACAAATATTGTTTATTTGATTACTTTAGAAAACAAACTCTGAAAGGAAAAAGGATTTCTGCTTTGAATGAGATGATTGGGATTTTATTAAATAATAAACAAAGCTTTTTAACAACAGCATCCGACCACAATCCTGATGCTTTAAATGAGGAGACATAATCCCCTTAGCTCCATAATCTACGTCGTATGTTTTACTGGCAAAGTAATCCAAAAGTAACAGAGCATAATCAGATTATGTTGCAGAGTTGGGGCTAATCCAGTGGATTAGCATACTGATTGGCATTTTAAACTGCCAATCAAAGTCTGTGTAACATTTCTTTTTTAAAGAGTGTGTAAATGTGTGTTTGAGAACACCTGCCTGTTTGTATGAGGGCATCTTAAGGGAAAGGAGCGATGAGAAGGAGGAGGAAGAGAGGGGGGGGGCTCTGTTGCTAGGCAACGTGGGCAGCGTATCGTTGGAGGAGTCGGTAGCTGAGTGGTTATGTACTGCTGCAGGCTCTGGTCTCTTAGTGCCCCCCCACTTCCCTCTCCTCCTCCTGCACCTCCACCACTACTACCACCACCACCATCACTTTCACCCCCCGCTCCTCCCTCCCCCATCTTGCCCTGTACAGCTCCACGGTTGTCGTCGCTAGGCAACTGCCTCCGTGCTCTGCCAGCGTGCTCGGTAATAGGCCGGTGGCATGGCGGCGTGCCGTTGCCAGATCCAGCCAGCTGCACTGACTACTGCCTCCTCATGTTTCAGCACTCCCCCCCCCCTCTCTCTTCTCTCACACACACACACATGCATGCTCCCAACCCCCCTCGCTCCCGTTGCCAGGCAACACATTCAGGCATCCCTGCCTCACGGGAATTTCATTGGCCGGAGTGGGATGGCCCAGACCTGCTGCTCCGGGTGTTTCTGGGAAGTGAGGCAGTATGGAGGTGGCCACAATGGGGACATGCATGGATGGATAGGGCTAATTCCTGGGTCTCTAAACCAAAAAGTGCTTAAATTCAGCACAACAAATTAGTTTAGTGCCAACAATGTTTTTAGTTTTAGTTTCAAATTGACATAACATGATGTAGTTAAGAGGGAAGAGTGTAAAAATGAATCACAATTGATTAAGCGTTTCAATCTGTATTCATTGGAGGTATTTCTTGGCATTTCGTAATTGCTAATGGAGGCCATCCCTTTCACACTTGTTCATTTATCACCTCAACACGGCTGTGACCTATGCACCTCTGTTTCTCACCATCTAACTGTACATGATTCCTGTTAATAGCCCGCTCACTGACTCTGATACAAAGTGCTTGAGTGGGTCATAGTTCAGCAATTTAGTACAGCACACCATAAATGTACCTTTAATTGGAACAAAGGCATACAGTGTACAGCATTGATTTTGTACCTTCTGCCTTATGAACAGACCGGTGACTTTCCTGAACAGCTGGTGCAGATAATGACACCAAACAAACACTGTCTCTCAATCTTGGATCCATTGATCGTGTCCCTTTTTGATAATCGCATTCAACAAATGAAGTCTTGGTTTTTTGTGCCGAGGCAGCTCAAGCGAATCTGGTCAGTGTGTCAGTGTGTTCGGTCCAGATGGGATGTGACTGATGCAGGTGACATCTTTTGGACGCAGCTGGCTGGATTGTGTCTTCCTTGCCATTACGCCGTGTGACTGGCCTAATTATCAACCCCCCCCCCCCCCTCTCTCTCCCTCCACCTCCTCCCTCTATCTGCAGCCTCTTCTGCCTTAATCCACTTCTGCAGCACTTCTCTTCGACTCCTTCTCAATCTCACCTCCTCTCACCTTGCCTCTAATCCCCCCTCCTCCTTCATCCTCTCCCTCTCTCCATTTCTTCTCTCGCTCCACTTGTCTCTAGCCTCTTCCTCTTCTGCGTGTTCAGCAAGATTGAAGACCAGTGGGAGCTTCTCCATCTCCTTTATAAACGGCTCTCTTTCCAGCCTCTGAAAAAAGGGGAAAAAGTTAAAGGGATATCAGTGAAGCAGAATACAAACCCTAAAATATACTTTAAATAGAATCTCTGCACGTAGACTTGAAATCTGGAAATATATCACGTTGGAGGCATATTTGGAGGTGACCACAGTAGACAAACAGGCGTGTGATTGGTGGAGCGGCGATGAAACAGGTGCTTATGCGTGTTTTTTCATCCCCCAGGTGAGAAGCCGTACAAGTGCTCGTGGGAGGGCTGCGAGTGGCGATTCGCCCGGAGCGACGAGCTGACGAGGCACTACCGCAAACACACCGGCGCCAAGCCTTTTAAGTGCAACCACTGTGACAGGTCTGTCGAAACACACCTCTCCCTCTTTTCCTCTCCCTTGTATGTTTTTCTTCCATTTTCCCAATGCTTATTTTGAAGTACTTCCACTCGCACAGCGGGCTCCCATTGTGTTCAGTTTGGTTTAGCAGCGCTACAAGATGCCGATAACACACCCAAATGTGTTTGGTACTGACCCAGTTTGAAAGTGTGCTAGCAGGATTACTAATGTGTGCTCCTCAGCAACATACGCAAAACACAACCTGCTCAGTGTTTCAATGGGGAGGTTGCTTATTCTGCTCTATCCCCACATTAGGCCCTGTGCAGCATATTAATAGTGCACCTACTCACATGATGCTACATGGCCTTGATTTGGAGGCTGCTTTCACACTGGGACCGAGGTGTAAAATGGCTGCAGAACCCATTATAACACATCACTGAATAGAATATTAATTTAATATCACTTTGAAATGAACCATAGTAACATTTTTTAATTCTTTACAGATCAGCCACTATGACAGATTTTTCATTTAGGGTTGACAGGTCGTGAAAATCACTGCGATGGACCATCATTAACCATTAACACAGCTTATAAAACATGTATGTGTTCCTTCTTTGAAAAGGCAATTATGTGTTGGACATTTATTTGGGGAATTAACAAAGCTACCATAAGCCAAAATACACGTGTGTGTGTGTGTGTGTGTGTGTGTGTGTGTGTGTGTGTGTGTGTGTGTGTGTGTGTGTGTGTGTGTGTGTGTGTGTGTGTGTGTGTGTGTGTGTGTGTGTGTGTGTGTGTGTGTGTGTGTGTGTGTGTGTGTGTGTGTGTGTGTGTGTGATTGGAGAGACTATCCTGTAAGCCGGATGATTCCTGGTCTGATCCGCCAGATCAAGATGATATCAGACCATTTAAGAGCCCTTATCAGCGGTGATCAGCGTCCTAGATGAGGGTTAGAAAGTGCCTGCTACACCCAGAGTAGGTTCACAATGGCGTCATCATCTATTCACATGGTTACCGAGGAAGAAGTAGTTATTACGGACGCTAAGTAGGAAGCCTGTTAACGTAGTATGACTTACAAGGTCCTCTTATGTTAGTTGGGATAAGTAAATGGATGGACAGGACTTTCACCTAGGAGACGGTAGTTGTTTCCTGTGTCCCAAGGTTTGGTTATTTAGCTACCCTAACTGAGCAAAGTTCCCCAGAATACGTAATATAGGTTACGGTGCTTATTTTGAACCAAAACACAACTTTTTTCCTTGACCTAACCACGTAGTTGTGGCGCCTAAACCACTATGTTAAGTAATTTTAAAAAAACATGGTGTTTTTGCGCCCTAAATTTAACTTAAGAGTTAAATGTAAGGAAGCTGTAACCCTCCCTTATGTTGGATATGCACCATTAAACCTACCAGGCATTTTATAGCCTTATAACAGGAAATGTTATGGGATGATGGTTTAATGTGTGGCTCTCCCTAACTGTCTAATGCCACATCTTGTTTACACAGTCACAGAAGGAGCACATTTCCTCCCCTAATCTTTACCGGGGTGAAAAGGCGCTCGGCTTTGTCACTTTGAAGAGTGTTTCCGATTGTAATTTGCCCGAGACTTTGCATCTTAATCAGTCGCCCTGGCTCCTGTTTAATTATGAACCACAGCAAAATGTTAATTTGTCGAGCTCCGGTGGCAAAATCATCAAACATTCAGTGGCCATTATGAGAAGATCAGCCTGACTCAGACACAAAAATCTTTACTCCTTTTTTAATTACAACCCTCCTGTCTGTGATCTGGCCCACGCAGACACCTCTGTGGTCTCTGAGCAATATTGTCTGCGGGAGCCATCGTAGTATAACAATGTGCAAGAGACTCCGGGGTAAAAATGTGGGTGAAATGCCTCCTAACCCAAACACCTCAGACATAACAATTATTATTGTATTTCTTTGTCTTAATTTGTTCTTTTTTTCTATTATTTTCTGCCACAAACACACAATTTTGCTAATAATTTAAGTCAAATGTATCTGTTGAATAAAACAGGATTTAGTTATTTATTAATCTGAAATATGAACGAAGATCCAATGTCACATTTATTTATAAGTGATATGGTGTGTGTGTGTGTGTGGTGTGTGTGTGTGTGTGTGTGTGTGTGTGTGTGTGTGTGTGTGTGTGTGTGTGTGTGTGTTGTGTGTGTGGTGTGTGAGTGTGTGTGTGTGTGTGTGTGTGTGTGTGTGTGTTGTGTGTGTGTGTGTGTGTGTGTGTGTGTGTGTGTGTGTGTGTGTGTGTGTGTGTGTGTGTGTGTGTGTGTGTGTGTGTGTGTGTGTGTGTGTGTGTGTCCGTGAACAGAGGGCCAGGCAGTGTCAACTTAATCAGGTCTCAGCTGGACGGACTGTAAATACAGTATCCCTCCCTCCTCATCCCTTATCTCCCAACCCCCCCCCCCCCCCCCCCCCCTCCCCAACACAGGCGCCCCCCCCTGCAGGCACATCCCTAATTTGGGCCCACCTCTGTCATGTGTCACATGCAGCCAACCCCTCCAGCCCTCACACACACACACACACACACACACACCACACACACACACACACACACACACACACATGTGCACCCTGCTGAGATGAAGAAAGAGGGGAAACAGGGGAGACAGGGAGAAGACGGGGTGGAAGATTGAGCACGGGGGGTGAGTCGGGGGAGGATACAGACCCACGGTGTGCCAGCTGGTGTCGTGCCCCCGAGTCGTGACTCATACTTTACCATCTGTCTCCACCGAACACACACACACACACACACACACACACACACACACACACACACACACTCACACACAAAAACCCTGCATGTCTCCTGAGCCGTTCATTCATCTCTCGTGTGTGTGTGTGTGAGCGTGCACACACTCGGATACACTCGCAGGTGTGACAGTAAGACAGATGACTGGTGGCTCATCACAGTGTAACTCCCCCTCTTGGCCAAACACTGATTCATCTAGACATCTCAGACACTTGCCCCTGTCTCAGTGGAGAGAAACTGAAACTGGAGTACCAAAAAATCAACAGTTGCAGGAATGTGAAAAGGAATCCGACTCCCAAGCCTTCTATTTAAATGCTTAATTAAAAATGTTATATTATTTGAGGTATCATTACCAAATTGCTTGCTTGAAATATTAACACATTTCCAATTTCAGACAGTTTTGGCAACCAGACACAATCCACTTCCAAAGCACTTCCTGGCGTTCTATCTGAAAATCCAGGAGAACATTAACAAACATTTGTCAAATTAGCAGCATTGCTGCATGTAGTGTCTTGTTTTTCTCACAAACATTATTAAATAGAACCACTTTAATAGGCTCTAAAACAAGTCTCCATCTCCAATATTTCCTAACACACTAATCACCAGTACATTCAGCTCCCAATTACCTAACAGAAAGCAACACTTGCCTTTTGAATATCGCTCTTCTGGGGAATGGAGCTGCAGTTAGTTCAGCGAGCAGGTGGGAGAAATACTAGAAACATCTTTTTGTAAGCATGCATGGAAGAGACAGAGCATGTATTATGTCAAACAGGTTGAAAAATAATCAAGCATACTATAAGAAAATGTCCAATGCAATTCCATTTTACACTATTGCTATGCCTTAACATATGAGTGGCTTCTATTCATCTAATTTAGTGAACATCTTAGAGCACATGTTTCGTTTCTCTCCTCAACACTGTTTCAACAGATCCATCTGCAGGCTCTCTAGTTATTCATGGCACAGCTGAAGTCATTAGCAGTGCTGCTGAAAATGCTGATTATGAATTAGTTACACATATACTAATTGCGTGTGCATTAGTGGCTCGGCGCTCACTAGCTAACAGCAACATTTAGCTCCATCGACAAAACAAATTTATTTTTCCCCGCGTCGGTAACAAGCTAACAAGCTGCTCTCTGTTTCCCCCCTCTCTTTTGGTTTGCAGGTGTTTCTCGCGGTCGGATCACTTGGCGCTACACATGAAGAGGCACATCTGAGGAATCCGAGAGAGGTCAGCGGGAGTGGAAGAGAAGGGAAGGGGGATGGAGGCGGAGTGGAAGAAGGAGAGGGAGCTTCTTCTGCAGAGAAATAACACCATGGATGTAAGAGAGAGAGAAAAACTCTAAATTTGGCCGTTCTGGACCGGATGGAAAAGCACCGCACAAGTACGCTAGCTACGGAAACACAGAAGCCGGACATATCCCAAGTGTCAATCTGTGCTCTACTAGTTGGTCCATGATTCCACGGCGATGCCGTAACCTCACAAATGTCTCCCGGTGTTGTGGCGTGGACGATACAGACGCTCCGTCCCACCCCTCATGTGTGTCTCAGAGGGGATGGATGGTGGACCGAGTGCCTGCAGTTGGCAGCTCTTTGTCGTCCGGCGCAACCGTCCCTCGGCTTCCAAAATGTTCACCCAGCGAGCACACCAACGCCAAACTGGACCAGTTGTACAGTGATTTCTGCTCTTTGTATATTCGAGATTTCCTTTTTCTTCAAAAGTACCTTGAGTTGAGAACAGTTATTTCCTGACAGTAGCTCAACAGAATCTTCTCGCAGGGTAAGCAAGCGGGATTTCTCTCCTTCAAACCTGCCACAGCCTTTACAAATCACCAAAGGGTTTATCATCTGATATATAGTATAGATACTTTATCAATCTTCCAACTGGATACATGTATAAATCCTTCTGGTTCTTTGGCATCGGAGCGTTCGATTGGATTTGAGGATTGGATTGTTGCACTTAGGTGCTGTTAAGACAGAGGGAGGTCATCCCGAGGACTGGCTTGCTTCACGAACATCATCCATTGAGGGTCAACACTGGATGAGGCTAACTGATCCACTCTGGGAAAGACTGTTCATCTCCTTGAATGTCTTCAGGAACAGATCGTCTCATGAGAGGACAGACCATCCATCAAAAGTGTTTTCCCTCTCCAGGATCTTACGAGTTGTTGTCAGGAACGGTTGCACAATTGACAAACTTTTTGTAAAAATTCCCCCCCAAGCGCTGGCTGGCTTCCACATGCCGTCCGTGTGCGGGAAGCCACATGCACAAGTCGAAGCAGCTAGTGGACTGCAATAGCACACTGAACAAGATTACCATGTATAATGAAGGCTACACTGAAGAAAAGATTATCCTATTTGTTGAAAACTGACATTAAAGAGACCATTTTGAAGGAAACATCGGAAAAGGAGGCAGCCAAAAAAGTGTCTACTGTAATGCCTGAAATGATCTCTTTGGCCTTTAAGAGTGATTGGCAGCTACAGTCACTGGGTTGAGGATTTTGTCCTGTTCACACCACCCATTCAGAACTCCTAAAAGCCGCATTCAACAGCTCTCCTAATCGGGCCCTATGCATTTCCAAGAACATTCCTGCAGACTTCCTGACCTCACATGCATGTCTGAACGCAGATTGCTGGACACGGAAGGACTTGTGGGACAAATTCAATCAATTGGGTGGCTCTTCTTGGAGCGAATCAATTTGAATGTATCTGTTGTAAGTCTGTACATGTTGCTAGGCCCATGAAAACACACATGTGAGTTTGTAGTTTCACTGTTGAACTGAATGGCCTCGGAAACAACTAGCTAGTCATGGCTGTTGGCTTTTTACTGGTGGGGGGGGAGTGTGGATTTCAAGTGGGTGGCAGGAATGGGTTAGGGGAGAAACACATCTGCTCCGTCAGCACATGATAACAGCCCCATCAGCTCTTGAAACTGCAGAGGAGTGAAACCCATACACACGACACATGCATACACTCCTAGAGAACTGGAATTACCATTTGTCCTTGGTGATCTGAGTCTTGTCCAACAGAACAAAGATCTAGCTTTTTGCTCTTGCCATCTTTGATCCACCGATAGAAATACATTTTCAATGAGCATCGATTCAACTCAAGCGCACATAAAACAAACAGGCAGCTCGGACAAAAAGTAGATTTTCAGGATTCCTACGAACAGAATTTGGAACTACTATGTCAATGTGTTTATTTCTTTATTTTACAAGACTTGTAATACTTTGAGGCAAAGTGAGGCACACAGCAGCCTGCTTTTTTGGCAGGGGAAGCAGTAAATTGATTTCACTCTGTATACCAGCGGCGCATTTCAATTTCGGGTATGAATGCAGCCCCGCTCAATCATATCTGCACATGATCTGTCCGCGGCTCTGGAAGTAGAAGCTGTGTGCTGCTTTGCATAAATATTGAACTCCTTCTGTCTAAACGTGCAAATACACCAGGCTCACTTTTTATATTGAACATCTCGGTGACAGGCGTTTATTTGCAAAGACAACATGGAGGGACCACAATAGAAACCACGTTTTTCTCCTGGTTTATTTTCAAAAAGACCAAAAATTCTCAACAACCATTCAGGTTGCAACGCTTTCAATGCTACCATCCACACTTGGAATAAGCGAAAACCGTAGCAACGTTTGTAGAAAATGTAAAAATGTCCAGTTCAGATGGGAAAGTCGGAGCAGGTTTGTGGTTTTCCTGCTCATGGATTAAATGAAGAATAGCAGTTTAACTCATGGGTTAAAATGGTATCATCAATGGCAGCTCTACTTGTGTGTTTCAGTATTTCAATGGGCACCCTCTTGTTGCGAATGTGTGGGAATGTGCAGATCTGAAGTGTTTTTTTGTCCTGTACCAATCACAGAAACACTCAATGTGTTTCATTTTCCGGAGCGGAGACATGGGAATATTCAAAATACTGAACAATTTTAACAAATGTCAAAGACTGGAGGGTTTCAAAATGTGAATGTGTTTTCCGGAAAGGTTGTTTCATGTTGTCAGAGGAAGCGGTTGAGTTCTGTGTCATCTTAATGAATGATTGTCAATTCTGCCGTGCCTGTGTGTTCTTCGTCTGTTTGTATTTGCACTCTAAATTTTTCGGGGGAGAAATCACTCGCATATCTGATGTTTCCTGTCCGCTCTGACACTTCACACGACGACCCCCCGGGTGATAAAACACTGATCACAAAGTCTGTATAGTAACTGTTTTTTAGCACAAATGTACACACGCTCACACACATGCATGCAAACACCCCCTAAACAGACATAAACATACATGCACATTCAAAATCACACACACACACACACACACTCCGTTCTCCTTGTGTGTTTTTCACAGTTTCTTCATGCCACCTTGTGGGAGTCAGAGATCCAGACTGCAGCTTTTGCTCTGCTGAGGGGGGGGGGACATTACTATGTGTGACACCACCTCTGTTTCCACTAGGTCTGAATTTCAAATCAAACGCACCCCCCTTTTCTACCAGCATTCCCTCATCGCCCCCCCTTTCTCCCTCTTCCATTTTCTCAGATATGATCCCTTTCAACTCCTCTCCTCTGTCCAACTCCCCCCCCCCCACCTCCCTCCCTCCCCCCGCCCTCTCCTCCACCTTTTTCCTCCGTTGTCTTTCTCCTTTTCTTTCTTCGCTGTACAAAGTGTTTCAAATTTATCATTTGTATATTATGATGTATGGGTACGATAATGTTCTTTATTATGGAAAAATGAGAAAGATTTATTTTTGTTACCGGTTTGTTTCATAATTCCTTTTTTAAATTGGTATTGTAATATCTCTATGCAAGGAACTGTTCGGTGAATCGTTTTTATTTAAGAATGTAATTATGTGTAATAAATGGTAGAAGCAGTTGGAGTATTCACAGTCTGTTCGTCCGGCAACAATATGCGCCTTATCGTCCATCTTCTCACAGAATATCTTTTTTTATTTCTTATCCACTCTCAATCACAGGGCTATTCAGTGTGCTAACAAAGAGCTCCCACAGTATATCCCACTGACCAGACAACTCCTCAGGCTCGGCTGCTTCAGGTTTGCTGCATTTTTCCGAGCTAAATCAGCGCACTAAGTGGGTTAAAGTGGGCAGGAAAATTAATTTACACCCCCCTTTTTCTTCAATTTGCAGCAATGCACTCCTAGATGGATAGAAAGACCCTCTGATTTATCGTTCCTTTTGATCAGACGCAGGAAATGGGCCAGAATGCCTTCCCTTAGCCGGAATGCGCTCCCTCCGAGGGAGTTACCGCATGTTAATTATATCTGTTACCAACCAAGGTGATGACTTATCCGCTATTCCTGCCTTTTTGACCATGACTAGCTGATAAAAGGGTAATCGAATAACTAATGGCTAATTAGGGAGTAATTACTCCTTGGTAAATGGCCCTATGCAGTGTATTAATTCTCCTTGGGTCTGGCAGTGAGAAACTCCCATAAGGTTTTTTGTTTCATGTAATGCTCCCTAATTGAAATGGGCACCCTCATCAAGAAGCTTACGAACTGCTGTCGAACCTAATGTTCTTTTATCGGTAATTACAGACAGCCCCACATTATCTACCTAACTACACCTACTACGTCAATCCGACAGACGCGTTATGAAATTAGAAGGGATGGAGTCATTTTTCAATAAAGGTCGCACGTCCCATGAACGCTTTCCAATCGTCATTTCCCATTCCATGTGATGGAAATGAGGTTGCATGTGAGTTCACAGCAGCACCAAACGGTTCTTAATGTGTTTCAGCAGAGAAAGGACCACATTTTCATCAACACACATTCCAAAAGGTTAATGCACTTATTCGAAAAGTATGTCTGCAGGCAATCCTTTTTTATTTGGTATGTATGAAACAGCTCCAGTACCAATAAGACTACTCTGAAGACATCTTAACATCTGGGAAATTTGCAATTGTATGTGTTTACACACCAAAGAAGCAAGATGAGAATAGAAAGGTCTTCATTTTCTTATGAAGGTGAAGAAAATAACTGAAATCTAATAAAATCTTATAGAGAATTTTCAGCTCAGTACAAACATTGTGAGGTGTCATACAAATATGTGTATATGGCAATGATTAAAAAGAAGGGCTGAATGTTCTTTGACAATTCAGCAAAAACGTATATACAAATTATATTTCAGTATCCGAGGTAAGGATTCATTAGGCTATAACAAAGAGCTAATAATCACTTCAAATGGACCAAAAAGTGAATTTGACTAATTATGCCAATTTATATTTTACTGCAATCTAAACAAATATGAGTCTTGCAGCTTATAGTTTATCCCTCAGAACTACGCGGAAAGGAAAGACATGCTAATGCTAATGCTATCGTGGCAACATAATCTACAATGTAACAAGTGCCTGAACCAATTTGAAATCCCCACTGACAATTGAATAAATAACATTTAAACATGCAACCCTTCAACACATGTTCTTGTTTTCTACATCTGAAAATGATGGAATCAACACACGGACACACTGCGGGAAGAGGTGGATTTGTTATCCGGCTAATTACACCGGGGGAACCCAAGCAGAATAATCTGAATAATAAAAAACTGAGTTGATAAACACGGCTGTTGAATGCTTGGTTACATGTGCTCAGTCCCCCTGTCCTCCTCTCCACTTATCTGCATCAAGCGATAGCATCAACGTAAATCTTGTAGGAAAATAGGATTAAAACATCTCCTGATGTTATCTTGTTATATTATTCTAAACATCGCCTTCAGATCGAGCCGCTTATTCGAAGTACTTGACCTTAAAATATGTAGATACCTTTTATGCCATGCATGGCAGCATCTTACTTTATATGCACAGAAGTGGAAATAGAAAATAAATGGAATGGAAATGGGAAAAAATGGACCCTAGGTGATTATGTTGGCGCCGTATATGCGTCAAATTAAGGCCTGGACAGCTGTCTATTACTTAAATGGAGATTAAACATTTAAAAGCAAAATGTAAGAACAAAAATGAAGACCTAAGGACCGTTTTTTTATCCCCAGAGTTTTCAAATATACTCTCATTGTTCAGCATCCTGCAGGCTTATCAGCTTGCCCTTGAAGTCCTCCTGTCTCTGCTCAGCTATTCACCGTCGCAACACCTGAGCACATTTCAGAAATGTTGTCTTTGTTTCATACACAATGATTCTGACGCCATTGAAGGAAGGCATAAAAGGTGTGACGGTTCTGAATCGAAGCGCCTGTAATGAAAGAAAGAAGCCATTCTTCCTGCGAGGAAGTGATTCACTTAACAAACATAAGGCTCCTTTTTTCGTGTGGTTGTGCAACACAAGATTTAACCAAGGCCGCTGCCAATGCCTGTGGGTGTCTTGTAGGCGTTTGGCAGCCATTTAGGGATGTTATTGTCACATCTGGCACTGTTGAGATGCCAGCATACTGGGATGAAGAGCTTCAAGTCTCACCATATCTTATTCCAGGCTTATCTTCAGTGGAAAGTCTCAAAATCTCCTGTTGCTGGAGAATAAAGCTGGTCCTACGAAGGGTTGCGAACCGTGGATTCTCTGGTTTCGTGCCACAAGCAGCCAAGTGCTTAGGTATTTCCAATTATAGGGAATATGTCGAGGTGGCCCTCGGTAATTAAAGCCTAATCATGCTGCTGGATTCAGAGAAGCATCCTCATCAAGCTTTCATTAGTCTGCCTCCTTGTGATGCAGCAACCCAGCCCCCTTTAGCATTGCTCAGATATGTTCCCAATCAGAAATTCTGTAATTTAGTGGTGTATTCCGTCAAGGTACTTTTGAAATTCAACACCAAAAAAAAATGAAGCAATACCTGCTTAGTGTTGAGCTAGTTAATTTCCAAAAAAAAGTGTATAGACAAGCGTGGAAAAATGTATTGTCATGGTAACATTTTGAACATTTTGACTTGATTTCTGAAAATAAAGAAAAATGTTGCACTGGCCAAGCTTGTTTTAAGAAAATGGGACTTAATAATAGACTAAATGAAACTTTGACTGTTATTTTGCAAAAGAAAGATTGAACTGTGGGTACTACATTGTGTTTATCCCGAAGCCTATACAGTATAGTGGTTGCATGTGAACTCAATCCAGGAGTTGCCACTCAGTTTTGCTAAAGAACAAAAAGTATCCCCATTCCAGCTGGGGCGATGAATCTGTTCTTGTTTCCCTGCAGCTCCTGGATGCTGTTACTCTTCAGAGCTGGGTTTGAGTGAGAGTACAGTCAGGGATCTTCGTGTTAGGGGGGCAGGCGAGCAGCTGGAGAGGCTGGTGGTCTTGTGCTCTGACAAAGATCAACAGGAGCGCCGTGTTCGAGCACCTGGCTCTCCTAGATTCTGCCTGTTTGACAGACAGCGTAGACACCTGGAAGCCCGGTGAGAGATGGCAGTGTAAAAGCCACTGCTGCTCTACAGGGCCATGCATTATGCAGGAAGCTTTCTCTCTTCCTCTCCCTCCCTCTGCCCCCTGCTCTGCGGTAAAAATAGATCAACAGACCTGAGCTCTTTTTTTTTTTTTCCTGCTTCTCACTTTCACTTGCATCTCACCAGGTGCAGCTGCTGTTGGCTCCTCACTTGTGTTTGTGTACCTGATTTACACACACGTGCGTTTGCATACACACACACACTTTTGAGAGCATGTGCTGAAGCATGTGTGCGTGTCAACCAGGGTTAGACTGTGTGCCGCTGCACTCAGATTTCTAATAAAAGCGGCATGTTGTTGTTGCAGTCCTTTTATTCCTAGGAAGGAGGATATGATTGGATCGCACAAGGTCATTTTTGGCTTGAAATTTGTTTGAAAACCTGGAGAATGTACTACAGCAAGAAGCCAAATGTTTGTGGACACATTGGTTAACACTAAAATGGAGACATTTGAGGAAAGAAATCAGAAATCAGGCCCAAAATAATAATAATTTTTGACAAACTGCACATTTCTCAGTGGAAAAAATATCAGAAATAAGGATAATATTGTACTTTCCTGGTTAAACCCATCTTGAAGCAGCCATTTTGAAAAACTAACACTCTGTAAGTCTTCAGGCTGTCATAAAATCCTTATTGCAAAAAAAAAATAGAAGACATTAGATGTTAAATATCCACATAGGGGTGTCATCTTTCAAATATTTGTACAGAGTTTGACCTGCATTAAACATTTATCCGTCCATTGACGAAACAACCACAAGAAAATCTGCCAAAATCCCGAATGTTTAGTAAACTGTATAATTACATGTGTATGCATGCACAAAAGGCCTAAAGGTCCCTGTTCGCAGTGCGAAGGCTCCCTGAAGACCATTGATCCGTGTGTGTGACCACAGAGGGCTCCGGCCCCTCCCTGATTGCCTTTCCTCTGCTAATTAAACAGCCCTGCTTAACGAGTTCACGTCGGTAACAAGGTTGGAAGGAAAGGTCACCCTATCATGCTCGCTTCAAGTGGACACCGTCAATAACCATCCAGCGCTAGAGGGACAGGTACACACACACACACACACACACACACACACACACACACACACACACACACACACACACATAATCACCCTAAAGGAAAGATTTTCCATTCATTTTGCCAATTCAAGTTTTCCGTCTTTCATCTTGCCTTTTAGCAGCACTTCAAGGGTACTGGTGGTTTTGCATTTTTCAGCCCATTAAGTATACATTTACATTACCCATAACCAAGCACATTTTTAGAATCCATTTGAATCATTAAACAACTTGCAAAGGCCTGCTAGAGATGGACATCAATGTGGAAATGTCCTTACTAAAAGTTACAGGGGACATACAGACAGACTGGTAACATACTTTTGGAATAGCAACTTTAAACAACATTTAAAAAGGTTAAGAAACCCAAGTAAAGAGAGACACAATAAAAAGGGTAGAGAGGATTTCAGACATGTCTTCCAAGGTTTCATAGCTGTCAGGATCAAACAGTGTCATGCTAATTGAATTGGTTTTAAATGGACACAATACAGACCCTGTGTCTGATATGAAGCACTGGCAGCTTGGGTGTGTGTTAATGGGCTGCTGACACAGGGGGGTTTGTCAGCCTGTCAGCGGCAGCAAATAAGAGCGTGCTTTATTATTCTATTTGGCAATGATGACAGAAAGAAAAGACCGCCTACCTGATGTTTAACACAGGGACATGTTGTGAGTTAGAAGCATTGTGTGCCAATTTGTGACGTTTAGTTTTATCGTAGATGAGACAGATCTGTTGATTAATAAAGAATTAACTTAAAAAAGCACAAGAGGGCTTCTTTTATGTTCAAAACATTCAATATTCTATCCTCAAAGCCAACAGACTCCATTGACAGAAACATTAGTTATACCTTGCTGATCAATGTAAAAAACAAATCTAAACCGTCTTAGTTTTTCTGTCCAAATCACACAATTCTGGCTAAAGAGTTTGAAAGTTAGACTGACTGATTGACGAATATTAAAAAACAAAAGGCATACTCTTCTTTTGTCATTGAGAAAGGAGTTTATTGCATATTTTAGCAGTTTGTTTTCATTTAAAAACCTGTGATCATGATAAACAGAAATAGCAGTCCGGAAATAAGCAGAAGTAGCAGTTCTATGAATGTAGCTCATGTTTGCTCCTTCTTTAAATGAACCTGCGTCCCTAGGAGGAAAGTGCCTGTGCAGTATTTTTCCAGCCGGCCTGTAAATGTCCACAGACAAACCTCGAGCCAGACACACACACTCACGACCTATATATACTATCTGGCCTCCTCATCATTTATCTTACAGCAGCAGAATCAGGATAGATTGGTTCAATTAGACTGGCCTTTAATGTAATCTGTTTAATCCATTTCTATCATCAAAGCCAATACCTACCTCTCCCCTTGGAGAGTGGGATTAGAGTGTATCTCAGAGAGAGCATCTCGGCTATAAAAACCAGCCTCCGAGTCACTCACATCCCCTACATATTTGTTTTTTACAACTGGCTGTGGAGCAAAAGCAGAGGGTCTCAAGTGAAGTTTTAATGGGTAAAGATTTAAGATCTTCATAACCTAGCAGAGATTGCAAAAGCTGTTTGGCACAATGCACAGTGCCACAATAAAAAAAGGCGAGAGGATTTGTCCTTTCCCTTTTTCTACAAAGATTGCAGCATTGGACGGAAAAACCCCAGGATTAGGTTGCACCAGCTATTTGTAATTCCCTCACTAAGTTCGTACAGTAATTACTGATTTCAAACCATCCATATACACAGTCAAATTCCAGCAGCTGCCTCCTTCTCATTTAAAGGTGTTTTTTTTCCCTGTTCTCCTGCATTGCATCCAACAGCTGCAATCTGCTTCTTACCTGCTGAGATTTTCGCAGGGAAGTGGGATTTTAGTCTCAATAGCCATCTATCCATCTCCCCTACCCAGCATGTGTCTGCACACTCTGAAATAGGAAGGAAGCACATATTTACTACTGCAGGTCTATTTCAGACTTCATCCCCTATTCCCCAATCCCAGGCTCAGTTCCGTACAAATTCAACCAGTTTGGAAGATATTAAGATTCCCCTGCACCAGTTCAGATTCTCCTCTCCTACATTGTGGATTACCTGTGTGATTGCCTTTCAGGAGAATACCCCACACGCTTATTTGCTCGTAACAGTCGATGAAAGCATTTTTTTACTGTGCCAGAAACTCTTGCTTTTCTGAACCCTGACTTTGTGTTTTTTAAAATGCTTCTTTAGAAACAACAGTATGTGTTTTTATCATAGCAGTGGATGTTGTAGGAGTGCAGCTGGCAGTTTTGATTAAAGCCGATTGATTGGATGACACCAGGCAGGGCGGCACATAGCAACACGGTGGGGTTAAGGGTTGGGGGCTCTCGAGGTGTACGGAAAAAAAAAACCTTTCCCACCCCCCCCCCCCCCACCCCCGTTTGTTAACACAAACCATGCAAACCATATCTGACAATAGCTATTGATCAGGTTAGCGGGGAGGATCAATACTTGTTGATTGGGCAGAAAATACAAGCCAGGCCATACAGGTTTAGGGTATTCCAATTTAAATCATCTGTAAATATTCTAATATAGGGTTTGACTTAAAAAGTATAATTGTTCCTACAAACAGACACGTTTCTGGTACACAACAACTGGTACTGTTCTTGTTTAAAGATTTTGATCAGATTTTTGGACACACATTTCTTTAGATACTTCATATTTTAGCCTGAAATATATATATTATTAGTAGGTTATAGAGCAACAAGGCTGTGGGAGATGAAATAAGGGAATGCATTAATGATATTGGTACTAATATGTACTGAGGAATTACAAGAACACCTGACTCCCAAGCACTCACCAGCTATTTCCTATACTGTATCATTTATGTGTGTTTACTGCCATCTGCTGCTTTTTGCAAGCATGTGCATGGGCAAACATCGGAATAAATGCTTAGGATGTGTTGACGGAAGAAGCATGCCATTTTTCAAGGGTTACACATATCTCACACTTTGTGCTATTCTTGAATTGAATACCTTAAATATCTAAAAAAAAAATAGATATTGGCATGTGTATGTCCATGTTAATGTACCTAATGTTATCAACTTCAACCTTGCAAATCTCCTTGTGTATATTTATCTAGGCAAAGTATTATGAATTAAATGTATTACTTCCAACATTTCAAAAAATATATATATTTAAAGATAAGTCTTAATATTTTCACAAATTGTATTGAGTTAATATTGGGGGTACACAAAAAGCCTTTAAAATAATCACACCTCCTTATGTGCGACATCAACAATACATTTAACCATACATGTAATTTGTGACATGATTTGATGTCTAAAGCACTTACAATGGCAGTGTAAGTGACAACAGTTATTGTTTAAGCTATTTAGAAAATAACATTTGGCTCTACAAACTTTATTGGTAACAAAACTAATTTTCTTTCTCTTTTTTTGATAGTTTTACTCTGTCCTGCATCTGTTCTGAAACCCCTTATGTAGGAACATGCACCAAGAAGATGTACTCAGACATGTTTGTCTCCCCGGAATAAGAAAGGTGAGTGTTTCAGATTGAACCTGAATTCAGATCTAGAAGAAGTTTTTGTTGACTAGGAGCGTTAATTCTACGATTACCTTCATCTGTCATTGTGGAGTTAAGAGAAATATTCATCTCCAACTCGTGCAAAAGTCATCTTTGACTTCTAGCCTTGACCTCTCACCGTCACTCTCCTGCAGATGAATTTCGATCTGTTAATTCCCACCTAAATGAATTTATCATTATCAGAAACTGCTGAAATGTGTCTTTGAATGCTGTCAGAGTCCTGGGCATTAATCAGAAAAGCCAAACATTGCTTGACTAAGCTTAACCGTTGAAAGCTTTCACTGCTTTGATAATATAGCCACCATTAATTCCCCTGCCACTGACAGGCAAGAACAGCGCAGCAAGCAAAATATATGGAGGGGAAGTGCTGAGCCGTAACTTGTACATGGATAAAAAGAAGTATGACATTGTATTTAATTACTATCACACTTTGGGAAGATTTAAACACAGTTCTGCTCTCTGTCTACAGAAACAAATGGATCTGCGATTTATCTTATAGGGAGGACTGAGGTTTAACTCAAGTAAACAATATATTTCCTCAGCTACATTAAACTCCATTCAACCATTAATTCATTTCAGATCCATTTTGTTTTGTTTTCCATCCCAGGTTGGTGTCTTCTCCGGATACAGCACTTATGATAATTTCTCTTGGCTGGTGTCCAAAACCTTTTAACCCTGAATCCTGTGTTTCTTATTTGATGAAAAACAGATTTGGACACTGTCAAACCTCCAAAACCACTTATTTGTTTCTCTTCTTGAGTCATATTTCTACATTTTCTTCTTTACTTCCCTCTTTTCCAACTGCTAACAATCATATATCCAAGTCATAATGAGTTTCCTCATCTTTACGGTTTATTTACGTGTTCTTGGATTGTGTAGGGCTATGAGAACAGATGGTAATTAACATGCATGGCTTCGAATTCCCCTGAATCTGAAAGACCTTTATTCATTCCCCCTGCCAAACCTTGACACTACCATATTGCAGATGTGACCTCCAGATAAATTCTATTTTCATACCTTTTTATTACATATTAAAGTCAACCTGCTGCTCTTCATGAGCAACCATCTATTCACTCATGGGAATAAAACAATGCAAGAAAAAAATGATAAGTGCATCAGCTTAATATATGAAGAAAAATCACATGCTACGCTTCACATCAGAAGTCCATATGTATTTACAAGACCCTATAAAACCCCCTCTGTGCGTTTGCTCCTCCACACCACTAGTGCAGTCATAAGCAGGGTGATCAGCACCGGCACGGCGATGAACGGGGCCAGGATGCTGGTGGGGGGGTCGTGGAGGAGCCGGCCTGTCAGAGCGCAGTCGTGGAAGTAGATCCGGTGAATCTGCATGAAGAAGCGGTCCACTATCTGATTGGGCCAGAAGCAGTCCATCTTCAAGGCCACCTGGTAGGTGCAGTTGGTAGTTCCCTCGTAGATCCTGCAGAGGGCGACAACACATATATGATTTAATTAAACATGTTACCACTGCAACATCTCCTAGCCACATTTCATGATGAATTTAGAAATAAACCTGTCGAACTCTTCAGATTGTCTTTCAAACGTCCCGTCAGAGTGTAACCAAAGTCAGGACCCCAGTTGGTAGGAAAATAGGCAAAGGAGTGTATAGAATTACCAGTGGGCTCAACAAAACTAAATATAACTGCTAGGTGGTCGCAGGCAGGGGAAATGGAGACGCATACCAGCGCTACTAGCACCCTCTGTCCAGCATTGCACCATTCCAACAGAGATTCACTGTGATGGTTCATGGGCCAAGTGGGGAAGTGGGGAAGTGGAAAGAAAAGTCCACTCAACTTCATTGTCCTTAAGAGGCTTTTTCTATTGGAGGCGTGTATTATTAAATGTCTAATTTCCCCTTATTATTATTGATGCATCATGGGGTATTTTCTGTAGGCACACAACGCCGTATTTCCATGCCTGCGGGCCCCTAATGATTGGATTATAAATTCATTAGTGTGAGTTTGTGTGATTATTAAAGCTATTAAATCTAGATTTTGACACAAATAAAAGAAGCAGGAGTGTCTTTCATTACAGTTCACATAAATAAAATACTACAATTAACACAATTTGGAAGGTCTTTGGTGCAAGAGGCTTTTTTTAAACTTTATTGCAAGTATATCTCTCTGAGCAAAACAGTGCATGCTAAGTTCTATTTTGTTCTTATTGGCTTTAAGAAAATCTTAAAACTAACAAATATTGGAGTGAAGCAGATTCAGTATCTACACCTCCCCCCCCCCACCGAGACTCACATGTGTGTGTGTGTGTGTGTGTGTGTGTGTGTGTGTGTGTGTGTGTGGTGTGTGTGTGTGTGTGTGTGTGTGTGTGTGTGTGTGTGTGTGTGTGTGTGTGTGTGTGTGTTGTGTGTGTGTGTGTGTGTGTGTGTGTGTGTGGTGTGTGTGTGTGTGTGTGTGTGTGTGTGTCAGAGAAAGGTCACTTGAGACCTAATAAAGAAAAACTGTGATCATCATGGGTCACTTTAACAAAGCAAAGATAAAATAACCCCTGTCTTGGAGTTTTCCCTCCCCACAGGGATTGTTTATTTTCTCGTGGAGAAAGAAGAACATGATCAGCAAAACACGAGGAGTGTTCAGACTGAGAGAGAGGACATCTAGAGATTCTGAGGGTGTTTTCAGTTGAAAACAAAACTGAAGATGGATCTCAGTCTGCCATTCTTCAAGCTTTGCAATAGTAGAACAAACGCCTAGCTGATCCATGCCTCCACCAACCAGTCAAATTGCAGTTTACACACATTTCTGTCCAAAATGTCATCATTACCCTCCACATAATAATTAACAAAGAATGTAATGGCTTCAAATAAACACATTTAGCTAACAGATGCTGACACAAGACGTTGAATTGACAAAGGATGCATTTCGTTGCTTATGAATTCAGATTTTCATTTTACTTTCTCTAAATTGGTCTGCATTCACACAAAAGCCTAATTTGTGTGTTGCTAATTCCTTTTATTTATTCACCCGTCGCACAGGCAGCTCTCCAAAGGACCTCGATGATGGCGTCAAACATTGCTGCGAGGAGGCGCCGTTGCGAACTCTCTAGGTGCCTGTAGGAGTCTTTTATGATGAGTTACAACTGCACACACACACACACACACACACACACACACACACACACGCATACACACACACACACACATACACACACACACACACACACACACACACACACACACACACACACACACACACACACACACACACACACACACACACACACACACACAGAGCACTATTCCTAATTATGTGCTGGACCAAGAGAGGACAGCGAGCCAGGAGGGAAATCACAGTTATGACAGTAGCTTCTCCTGTGGGCCTCGAAGCTCCTTTCACCCTCCTGTCTGACTCACCCTCTGACTGTCAGTGCTTGGAGAGGGACACACAGACAATATCAAGTGTGACAGATACATTAAAAGGCTACAAGCCAGCGATGTGATGATGGGTGTAAACGCAGGCTGGAGTTGAGGACCTATTATGCTAATTTCCAGGTTCATATTTGTATGTTGTGCCTCTTCTGTGACAGGTCTCCATGCTTTAATGTTCAAAAAGCTCTTTATTTTCCTCATACTGCCTGTGCTGCAGCACCTCTTTTCACCCTCTGTCTGAAACCAGAGCTCTGATTGGTTAGCTGACCGGTTCTGTTGTGATTGGTCAACCGCGCCGAGATGTCCCTCCCCTTACCCTATAACGTATGATGTGTTGGAGTGCTAGCCAATAGAAGCGTCACATAGTGATGTTACCTGCTATTAATAATTATCTGGCTTGACCTTCCTTGTTTACTAAGATACCTTATGTATAGTTGTTGGTATTCAATGTTGCTCTTATTAAAAGAACAGTTGTTTTTCTAACAAAATCCTCATTATTTTAGAGCACCCTCGAGGAAAAGAGGCTTTTCCACCAAATATGCCATCATTTAATTCTGTGGAGCAAACATATCTGACTAAACTGTTTCCTTTCCTTGCCAACTCTTTTTGTACTTAGGTGAACTCACTCCATGGTGTCCTTCCAGCTGCACCACAGCCCTCGGTCCAGCCCCGCCATGTCCAGTTGGAATTTAGTTAGGCAGAAATCGTTTATCGCCATCTCGTAATAACCTGTGTGGCAGCCGGACACTGATGGCAGGACGTGAGCTAAAGCACAAAAGCGGAGGAGAGACAACAAACAAAAATAAATGCATTAATAAATTAGACAATAAGAAGGAATTTGGGTTGGACTAAGAGATCAATTTAATCAGCTAATGATAATTTGTTTGTGCAACAAGGTTGTGTCCTGGCAATGGCTATTCCTCTTGGACCATTTTTTCCCTATTTGGCAGTTACTTTCACTACGAAAGATTCTAATTTGGAGGCACAGTCCCAGTCCAATTTGTTTATTTCAGAGATTTGTGTAAACTGGAGGCAGGCTGCTGCTGTCCCGCAGGACTCGAGGCTGAATGTACCAACACTGAGCAGTGCAGTCGGAGAGGGAACTTAAGCTGGCGGAAAGAGACCCGTATGGAACGAACAGGTTGTTGTCACGATGGGGAAACATGGTGGATCTCAGTCTGCGGCGGCCTGATAAGGACCGACTGTGTGCCCATTATGTTTGCTCTGTCTCAGCTGGCTCTGGGGGCTCCGAAACACTCAAAGGGAGCTTGCATGTATTGACACGGGGATTTTTTGAAAGAGATGCCACTGAAAGAAAATTGTGAAAATGGTCGGGATGCTAGTGCTTTGCACATTTTCACAGGAACAGAGGCTAAAACAGAACATATAAATGCAACATTGAGCGTCTTTTAAGTCTCTTTTGAACAAGCAATCCCTTAAATGTGCAAAAAACAATCCTGCATGATGTTATGGGTGAACGGGAGAAAGGATCTACCTAATTTCCCAAACTAATGTCAGCACGTAGATGACACATGGTTTGTTTTATATTCAAGGTGCCACATGCGTATTAATTACATGTTGAACAGTGAGTATACATTACAATAAACTTGGCACTAGATCAAGAAAGCTCTTCGCATTTTCCAGAAACAAATTAAAAGAAATCTGACAATCAAGCGTTCAAAGATGCCTCCTCACTTGGCTCCTGCATTCATATTCCATTTCCCTGAAAAATCAAGGCCAACCGATGTTGATGCTGCTAACGGGAGGATTGCACTCTATCGACTCACTGCCTACGGGTTTGTCCATATTTTAGTTGAAGGAAGCACCCGTCATTGCAGCAGGATTCATGAATTCTGCCCGCCATTCTACGACTCAATATTTATGGATCTTTTCAAAATAATGATGAAATGATCCACCCTGCTCAGATATCACTCGTGTTTGGCCAGCTTCTGCTCAGTGTGAGGAGAGAAACTTCATACTACAGCACTCATTAGACACATTAGCAGTAGTTATACTGGATTTCTTGCCATTCAAATAATTGCTTCTGATGAATGGATTAGTGAATAAGCTTATAGCATAGGCCAATGGGCCAATAGTGTAAGGGGCTCTCTCTCCCCCTTAACCAATGCAATGGCACCCAAAATGACAAATACCAACAAAGAAGAGACTCAAAATGAGCACTAAGGAACATAAGAACGCCTACAAAGAGACACGGAACAACATTACAAAGAAGCTAAAAAACTATATAAATAGATATAAAGATAGAGATACTTTATTTATCCCAAGTTGGGAAAAAACATTTGTCACAGCAGCAATTTGACAGTCAATATACAACAATTCCAAATGTCTTAAAAATGTAATATATATATATATATATATAAGATAAACATAACAAATACTGAACACTATAAAATGTACAGAATAAATCAAAAATAGTCTAGACAAATCAATTTAACATATAAACATAGTGTACAATATACATCAAAAGGAATGTAAGTGGTCTGCAGTATGTACAATATATGCAAATATGTGTAGTAATGGGTAATGCTCTCAAAAAAAGTACAGTGCTCTTGAATGCACCTCAAGGTCATACTTCCCCCCAACCACACCACTCATTAGGTGCTAATAAAAGCCACCTGTAGTAGGCCTACCTGCTGTGGTGAGAAGGCAAATGAACTGTTGGTATGCTGCATGGTGAGCCTTCTTTACCTACGTTTGACCCTTTGTGTAGGTTGCTGCTGTTTTGCCTTGTGATTTTTGCTTATGTTTTGCACTTAATTGTATTGCTTGGAGTAATTGTGGTTAGCTTTTGCTTTGCTGTTTTGGTTAGCTTTTACTTTGCTGTTTTGGTTAGCTTTTATCTTTAGCTTTGCTGTTTTAGTTAGCTTTTAGCTTTAGCTTTGCTGTTTTAGTTAGCTTTTAGCTTTAGCTTTGCTGTTTTGGTTAGCTTATAGCTTTAGCTTTGCTGTTTTAGTTAGCTTTTAGCGTTAGCTTTGCTGTTTTGGTTAGCTTTTAGCTTTAGCTTTGCTGTTTTGGTTAGCTTTTAGCTTTAGCTTTGCTGTTTTAGTTAGCTTTTAGCGTTAGCTTTGCTGTTTTAGTTAGCTTTTAGCTTTAGCTTTGCTGTTTTAGTTAGCTTTTAGCTTTAGCTTTGCTGTTTTAGTTAGCTTTTAGCTTTAGCTTTGCTGTTTTAGTTAGCTTTTAGCTTTAGCTTTGCTGTTTTGGTTAGCTTATAGCTTTAGCTTTGCTGTTTTAGTTAGCTTTTAGCGTTAGCTTTGCTGTTTTGGTTAGCTTTTAGCTTTGCTGTTTTGGTTAGCTTTTAGCTTTAGCTTTGCTGTTTTAGTTAGCTTTTAGCGTTAGCTTTGCTGTTTTAGTTAGCTTTTAGCTTTAGCTTTGCTGTTTTAGTTAGCTTTTAGCTTTAGCTTTGCTGTTTTAGTTAGCTTTTAGCTTTAGCTTTGCTGTTTTGGTTAGCTTTTAGCTTTAGCTTTGCTGTTTTGGTTAGCTTTTAGCGTTAGCTTTGCTGTTTTGGTTAGCTTTTAGCTTTAGCTTTGCTGTTTTGGTTAGCTTTTAGCGTTAGCTTTGCTGTTTTGGTTAGCTTTTATCTTTAGCTTTGCTGTTTTAGTTAGCTTTTAGCTTTAGCTTTGCTGTTTTAGTTAGCTTTTAGCGTTAGCTTTGCTGTTTTAGTTAGCTTTTAGCTTTAGCTTTGCTGTTTTGGTTAGCTTTTAGCTTTAGCTTTGCTGTTTTGGTTAGTTTTTAGCGTTAGCTTTGCTGTTTTGGTTAGCTTTTAGCTTTAGCTTTGCTGTTTTGGTTAGCTTTTAGCTTTAGCTTTGCTGTTTTGGTTAGCTTTTAGCTTTGCTGTTTTGGTTAGCTTTTAGCTTTAGCTTTGCTGTTTTGGTTAGCTTTTAGCGTTAGCTTTGCTGTTTGGTTAGCTTTTAGCTTTAGCTTTGCTGTTTTGGTTAGCTTTTAGCGTTAGCTTTGCTGTTTTGGTTAGCTTTTATCTTTAGCTTTGCTGTTTTAGTTAGCTTTTAGCTTTAGCTTTGCTGTTTTGGTTAGCTTTTAGCTTTAGCTTTGCTGTTTTGGTTAGCTTTTAGCGTTAGCTTTGCTGTTTTGGTTAGCTTTTAGCGTTAGCTTTGCTGTTTTGGTTAGCTTTTAGCTTTAGCTTTGCTGTTTTGGTTAGCTTTTAGCTTTAGCTTTGCTGTTTTGGTTAGCTTTTAGCTTTAGCTGTTTTGGTTAGCTTTAGCTTTGCTGTTTTGGTTAGATGTTTTGCCCGTTTAGATAATAATTTAAGCGAACTGGGATCTTTGTGTAACTTTTTCCAGTCATCAGGGCTGGTGCTGGTCACCTTCACCTTTGCTGTATGAGTGTTTTTCTGAAACTGCACCAGGTGAGTATATGCAGGACTGGGAGGGTTACTTTAAACATGCAATCACTTACAATAACTAGTTACATGTCAAAAAACACAACCTTTATATCAAAATATAAAAGTAATGAAACCTGATTACATTCCATTTTGGATTGCCTCTAACAAATGCAATGCAAATTTAAAAACAATAGAAAATAAATAACAATCAGATAAACCTTTCTTGTTTGATAACTTTTTGATTGATTTAATAAAAATGAGTTTATTTTGTACAGCGTCTCTTGCCCTACCTGGAACCATGTGTGTTTTGCTGACTTGTGAAATAAACAAAGATGTGTCATTAGTTTGTGGGGCCTTCTGCATGTATGTGGCCCATTGTCTCATAATGTCACACAAACCAAATCATGCCATTGTCCAGAAGTATGTTTTATTAGTCTGTGTAATAAAGTGCAATTCAGAGGTAATCCAGGTAAATACTGAATGTAATGATATGAATACATGAAGAAGCTTTCCTGTGTGAGTGCACACCCTATACAAGAAACAAAAAGTATTTCCCCGTGGGAATCAGATCAAACAAGTTAAATGTAAGTCTCTTAAAAGTATGTATCAATCCCAGAAACGCTCACCTGCCAGCAGCAACACAAGCCCCGCTTTCAGTAGCGACGCGCTCTCCAGAGCCATGGCGAACCCAACGCGTTTTACGCACACTGCTCACTCCCTGGAGGTCAACTGCACATATTCTTCTACCAGTTTCGAGCCAAAAGCCACTGATTCGGGAACCACACAACAAAGTTACAGATAAATGACCCGCAGCCCCTGGTGCGCGGTCAACAAGACGGCACCAACTGTGCGTAAAAGCCCCTTGACCTTCCCCAGTGGCAGCCCGCTTCCCTCACCGCAGTCCTAATCATAGCAGCCCGGCATGACATATGATCCTTCTGTCCTGTTGAGTGGAGCTGCTCACAGGGGACAAAACAAAGTCACACTAAAACCAGTGCCATCTTTTCATTTTAAATATAGCCCTGATCTATGTTCTGTTATGCAAATATCAAAGCGTGTGGGATGAAAAAGTCACATGAAATTAGGTTAAAGTTGTTTAAGACCCCATAAAGTCACACCACGTGTTACATATGGAATACAAAAAACAATCTTAAGGTTTTTAAAATACACTATTAAGATAAGTAGTAGACGTTTACAAAAGGAAGTAATTCAAGAGTCAAGTTTTAACACTCGTCATTCTAGTGTTGTACTCATGTTTGGCCACGAGAGGGCGCCATTTACCCATGTTTTCAATGGATTTTACATTTTGTATATTACATGTTACTTGTTAGACGCGTTTATCCAAAGCGACTTACATACTCAATACTGTGGACAATCAGTCTTGCCCAGGGACACAACGACATGCTGACTGCAGTGGGGTTTGAACCTACGATCCCCCTGATCCGATCACCAATGCACTAACCCACTGCGCCACACGCCTCCGTATATCAGTCTGAATCTGCAAAGCAAGTAGTAACTGTAGTTATTACATAAAAGCAGTAGGGTAAAAAGTAAAATATTTGCTTTTATAAGGTAGGCTACTTGAGTAGAAGCATAACGTGGACTGAAATGGAAATACACATCTATTTTATTGTAATTAACAGCATCTTTAAATATACTTAGTTGCATTCCATCTGGATGAGATGGGAATTATATTGTATTAAGTATTTTTCAATCTGGGGCAATAATACATAAACTCCATGTATTAAACAGAACAGCCTTTTAAATACACAATTATCACAATTATCCTAATATGTGATTGCTATTGTCTCTAAATTACCCTATTACATGCCTGCTGTGACAGTCATTAGACTCATTATCCACTTTTAATTAAATGCATGAGCAAAGTGTTCCCTCTTACTTTTTGTATATGTAATAATGGATTACTGTGTAGGAATTCATCATTATCCTGCAGCCCTGCTTACACAGGGTCCCATTACTGCGCACAAAGACACAATTCCCATTTCCATGTCACTCGTATATCAGTGTGGATCTCACGCGGCACAGTAATGTCCCTAATTGAATGTTTTATCTGCTGAGTTTTGTACAGGAACAGAGCGACGGGCATTAGTATTCTCTAGGTGGCTCGGCGCTGTGCTGCCACCCAGTGTGTGTGTCTAATCCCATGGCTCAAATAAATACTTCCATGTGCCTCACACTGCAGACGCTTAATCTATTATGGGTGTGTATTTCTTTATTTGGGGCGTCACAAACCCAAAAGGAACTTGATACAAAAAGACAAGACTGGTCTATGTAATAATGTTTCATATTTATTCTTTCTGTATAATACTGTCTGTATTTCTCTCAGCTCTTTGGTGGTTTCAATATTTATACTTCTGTTCGTAGTGTTTATACCCATGAATGCTTTTTTATATCTGTCAGTTATCTTACACTACACTGCCATTTACTACGTCCCTTGCACTTTTGGTTAGATACTAACTCCATTTCTTTTGTCCTAGGACTAATACATGTGCAAAGATGATATTGAATCTGATATAAATCTGATGTGGTAATTTTCTGTTGACACATTTCTGGTTTAAATGTTTGCAAAAGGCAATCATCTCCATGCTGATGATAAAAATGCATATCACAGTAGGAGTTGTCAGTGGCGTTTTTATATGTACAAAAGTGGTGGGGCACAAAAAACGTAGATGTCTATATATAAGCTTCTGAGGTTCATGGCTGGTGAGGCTCTGACTCTTCAGGTTTACAAATATTATATTTTGACCTAAATCAAAATATCATATTATTTTCAAAAGCTTTTTTTGTCTGATGCTTCAATTAATTTTAAACAGACAGTTCAACAAAAGGATACCCAAAAAATATAATTGTATCATTTAAATATTGAATTGTTCTCTCTTAGTAAGATCCCATTTTCAATCAAATTGCAGTCTTACCTTGACATGAAGATGAAGTCCATTTGCATATCCTTCTGGACAAAAATCTCTATTACTTTTTTGTAAAAGTCCTCCTTATGTTCTTGTAGTTTCAAAAGTCTATCATAAATCTGATCTAATCAATAGATTTATGATTCGAAAATTATAAAAGTAGGATAGACATGTGGATATTATCTGGCTGAACAAAACGTGCATTTATCTAACAGGTTTGTTTCCCACAGATCTTATTTTGAGCTATTTTCTAAAATCCTATGGAGAAATATCATTGCTTTGTTGTGGAGGGAAGCCATGCGCAGTTTATTTCCGGGTTTGAGGACGCCTCACTGCAGCTCTCTCTCCTCCTCTTCACACACCACACTTTTCGCGGCACACGTACTTACAGCCAATCAGCTCTGAATGATGTGAGATGACGTATGGTGGGGATGGCAGCTCTATGCCCCTATGGTCATTATTTTTTTGCCACACACATTAAATAGGACAATACTCTGAGCATGCGCAGTGTAGTTTTTACAGTCACCATTGACTTAAACAGGGAGAGGGAGGGGCAGGATCGGGTTTTGTCCCACATGGCTCAAAACAGCTCAATAGGCACACACTGTAGACACTAATTAGAAGAACACAGACTAAAACAGCAATGTACAGACGAATCAGATGAATAAACATGATCTTAAAATATATTTTATATATTTTTTAATTTATCTTTTGCATTTTTTTGTAATCATTACTTTTAATACTTTCTGCTGACACTAGGTGGGGCTGTGCCCCACCTGCCCCTAATGACCAGTCGCCACTGGGAGTTGTAGTCTTTTCTCCAAAGATGATTTTGCTGGTTCAGCTTTCTTTTTGACCACAAATCAATAAAGAGCTGTACTCAAACTCATCATATAAGGTTAACATCTTTTATCGACGTAAAAAGTCTGATTGTGGAGCAGATCAAGTGACATGTTGGTTTATTTTCCATGTTTTCAGCACAATATTTGTGAAAAGTACAAGCCCATAAAGTGCTATGTCCAGAAACAAAGGCCTAATATCGAGCAATTCTCCATAGATTGTGCTAGATGGCAGCAGAGGACACTGAATGAAGCCTCTGTGGGGATTTATGATGGATCATTTCCATCCTTGCTGCCTAAACTGTGGAGTAATCTGGTAATAGAGCCCGTTTACGCCTGAGTTCTCCCTTTACATGGATCGCAAATCAATATCTATTGGTCCTCGCTGATTTCCCTAGCAGTTTTCATACTTTCACACGAGCCCACCGGGTACACTGGATTGTGAAATGAGCGTCCCTGAACATGGTATACTGCCTGTTCTCTGCAGCATCAAACTTTATAGTCTGTGCATGCCTTTCAGTGTGGTGGAAGCTTGAACTTCCTGTAAACTTACATTCAATATACCAACACAAGTGAAGCAAAAGTAGTAATCACTCTCTAAATGATGAACTAATGGTCCTGTCATGGCAGGAAACAGGCTATAAAGCAATTGTTTTAATAGGTATTTAAATGATGATCATTATATGGTAATAAAAAGTCAATTTCTGCCTTTTTTCCAGCATCAGAGGAGACCACCCCGGGGGAAAACCAAAAAAGAACCTGCTCATGACAGGTGTGTTGACAGCAGTGATGGAGCCAAATAGCCAATCAGGAGAGGTGATAAGTGAGGTAGGCGTATTTCCAAAAAAAAAGAAAGACAAAACGCTTCTAATCTTTTAGATAGCTGCTTTAATTGGCTGATGGAGGTGTCGATCTCAGTAAGGAGGCGTGTTTAGACCCCCCCCCCCCCCACCACCACCACATCCCAGCACACACTCCACCCCCCCCCCCCCCCCCCCCCCCAGCCACCGGCGCTATGGCAGCGTGAGGAGTAAATGGCTCAGAGTATCCGCGGTGGAAAGCGACCTAAACACTGGACAGGGAACTGATAAACAAACAACAACAACTAACGCGGTGCGTAAAAGCTCTCCACGGCGCTGCTTCTGGGTGGAAACTGTGCCAACAGCAGAGAAGACTGACGTGATTTTTTCCCCTTTCATTTCTCTCTCAGTGTGAGCAAACAAACGAGGATATCTTAATTGGACATGTGAGTTACGGGAGTTAACAAGACAAGCAGCCCCCTTTTCGAAGATGAAGTTCCCCGCTTGTGTCCTCGTCACTTTGCTGGCGATCGGAGCCGGTGCAGCACAGTCAGGTGAGTGCTCTGATGCGCGTCTCTGTACCTGGGGCGCCCAGGGAGGTCAGATCCCCCTACAAAAAATGTATTTCCTGACATACACCTGCACACTTTGGCTTGACATGGTGGCGGAATCACAGTTTGGTGAATGACAACGAGCTGGATGTGACACCTCTGTTATTGCGAGCTTTGCATCACTGTCACAAACTTACACAACTTCATATCCAACAACGCTGCTTTTGAGTCCGCGCAATGAGACTCTCACCTGCAGTAAACTGTGACATTCAGCAGCCTGTGGGAGCGTGCCAAGCTCTGCGTAAAATAAATCTCCAAACTCCCCTCCTTTTAACACCTTTTACGAGCTAATCTGATCAAAAAGAGTCATTCTAAGTAGAGATTGTGGTGCTTTGAATGGATACATATTCTTGTTTGGGATAAACTGATGTTTATGAATGAATGCGCCATCGTTTTAATCTAATTCCCATAAGCGGACATTGATGCACCGCGGCTATTTGCGCTGATTTATATGAATTGAGCTCGTGGTAGCCCTTTTATTCATGCCTGGCTTTGAATAATTTAGATGTAGCAGATACACTGAGGGCTATAGTGGGAAAACATCTCGCTTTCATTATAAGGACCCCCGTGGTGTCAATCCCCGGACTAAAATCACTTGAATGATCCTGCAATATTCACATAAAGCATCCATGGCATGCTATAGTCAATTCATTGAGGTTAATGATATATGTGAGGTGTTGTAATCCCTTTGGCACCCCTGTGGGATATT